CCCTGTGGCAAATATGCTGAATCTGATAATAGCATCAACATATCTTCATAAGGGACCAAAACATCCTTCCCCCCCTGTGGCAAATATGCTGAATCTGATAATAGCATCAACATATCTTCATAAGGGATCAAAACATCCTTCCCCCCTGTGGCAAATATGCTGAATCTGATAATAGCATCAACATATCTTCATAAGGGATGATGATGAAGATGATGCAGATGATGATGATGATGATGATGATGATGATGATGATGATGATGATGATGATGATGATGATGATGATGATGATGACGATCACGATCATGGATCACATATACATTCATCAAAAATACGCAACCTTTCCGCAATTCTGGCGCGGAGCAACGTCAGGGTTGCACCGTACATGTTTTTACAGTTAATGCATGGGAAGTTTAGAAGTCGACTATACTTCCGTGTTACGGATCTTTGGAACTCCCTGCAATGATTGTCACTGCAATGATTGTCACTGCAATGACTATTACAGCAATAGCTGTCACAGCATTGACAGTCACAGCAATCATTATCACGAGCAGGTTTTGGCCAGTAGAAGCTTCCGTCTTGAACGTAATTCTTTTGGCATCTCAACTTGCTGTTTGCAAATCGCATTGGAGTGGCAGCGTCTTGTTGCTCTATGTTGCTGGTTGCTGCTGCGCGCGTAGTTCCAAGGTCTTTTGCAACTCGGTGTTTGCAAGTCACATTGGAGTGGCTGCATCAACGTTGCTCTGCGTTGCTGTTCCGCACGTAGTTCCACGGTCTTTTGCAGCTTACTGCTTGCAAATCGCGTTCGATGAGTTCTTGCTGATTCTTGCGCTTTTCATTTTCCCTTTAAATTTGGTTTCAAAAGGCTTCAAAATCTTACTTTTTGTGGCTTTGGCGCTGGGATCCGGTTTTGGAGCAGGTTTTGAACCAGAGACTGAAAGGCTGAAATGATCTGAGAGTGAGCTGAGAAGAGATGAGATGAGCTGAGAAGAGCTGAGACGAACTGAGATCGGCTAAAAAAGTGTGAGAAGAGTTGAAAAGATGTGAGAAGAGGAGAGATGAGAAGACAGGAGCTGCGCAGAGCTGAGAAGAGTTGAGAAGCTCTGAGAAAATCTTAGAAGAGCTGAGATAAGCTGAGATGAGATGAGATGGGATGAGTTGAGACGACCTGACATGAGAAGAGCGGTGAAGAGCCGAGAAGAGTTGAGCTGAGACATGCTCCGTAGAATGGAGAAGCTGAGAAGAGCGGAAAAGAGAAGAGTCCAAATGAGCTGAGAAGAGATGAGAAAAGGAAAGAAGACATGAGATGAGATCAGATGAGATGAGATGAGGTGAAAAACATTGAGAATACACACGACATGAGATGAGATGAGGTGGGATGACACAGACTGCGGTGACAATGTGATGCAAGAGCAATGTCCAAGAGAAGCTGCGACGCGCTGAAATTAGATAAAATGAGATTCGGCTCTATAGGCTATAGGCGTTTCAATTTTGAAACTTCTGCCCCGGCTTGCCCGGGCACTACTTGTACTAATGATTTGCCAAACCTGGCCCTGAAACAGTGGAGGGTTCATAGCCAAGCAGGCAAGTTTGCAGTGGTTTTTGGTTTTGGTGTCAGGGCAGGAGGCTTCCTGGGTAGCCGAGGAGCGGCTTGGGCAGCATTTTTGCAATCACACAGGCTGGAAGCGCTGCTTGAAGTTTTTGGTTTCTCCCGAAAAGGCGGACTCATGGCAATGTTCATGAGGAAAATGACGGGAAACCACTGGATGTTTGGTGTGCCCTACATTATTGCTTGGACAGACCCACTTGTGTTGCCCATTTGGCCGAAGCTTGGCTTGGACTGCGGAAAAAAAAACAAACTGAAAATGGTGCAATTTTAGGACAGCAGAGTCTAGCTATATTTGGTGGACAATATCAGCTATATACACAGTTACATATATAATCATATATATATACACATACTGTGACAAATATCATCCATAATCATATTTATGATACCAACATGACAATGTTGGATTGGCTCATGTTTTCATCGATGCAGAAAACCCACAGCAAGAGGGAAGGCGTTGACTTTGTTTCCCTTAGAAGTGCGCAATTCTTTGCCCAGATGACATGAAGGTCCCTTGCCTAAAGGATTGGTGGTGGTGATCCGGCTTGTAGTCCCCCACAAGAAATACGTTCGACATGTTTTGACCATGAATTTCAGAAACTAAAAAAAAGTTTCCATTTTTCCAGTTCATTTCAGTTGGCACACAGGGACGGGCAGATTGCAGTTGACAATGAACATGTGCATTGTTTGTGTCTGTTCTCATGAAGGGATCGTGAAACCATTTGACTAATCGCTAGAGTTCCCATGATTGTCAGGACAGAAACAAGCCGATCACCCCCTTGCGTGATTTTTGTGTCCCTGCCCCACTCAGATTCCCGAGATCAGCTTGAAAAGTTTCTACGAGGCCGGTGTTTCTTGACAGGTTAGCGACCAGAGTTATGGCAGAGATCGGGTACCATTGTCCGATATATCCTGATGCTACACAGCATGGTGATGTTGCAGCCTTCCCAACTTGGAATGGCCAGCACCAGCAACCTGTGTGGGCAGGCGGTAGCAGAAAGCTCTTCCGAGGAGAAAGATGGTGAAACACCAGCTGTAGCCAATGGGTCGAATATGGTCGAACATTAACATGGCTGAATTGGGATCTTTGCACTGGCACAAACTGGCGCTGGAAAAAAAAACAAATCTAGGGAGTGGCATTTTCAAGTTGGATAGGAAAAGAATAAGGCGGTATTTGCTTGTTTGCTCCAGGATAAATTCTAAATGTTATTCAGAATGCCCAAAACAGCTGGCAGGATCCAGACATATCCAGAATTGAATCCAAAAACATTTGCGCACAAAGTGTTGCAAACTCTGCTGCGGAGCATGTCGGAGCATGTTCTGCGAGGAGTTGTGGCACAGAGACTCTGTTCAAGGGTTGGCTCAAGAGCTTCGGGAAGCATGTGAAGAGGCCAAGTCAATCAATGATACTTATTGTGGCACTGGCCTGAGGGTTAGCATCAGTGATATGATAATATGAGTGTCTGAAAGTGGAACATAACAATACTAACAATACCCATCAAATATAGTAGCCAAAATACAGTGAAGTATGAGTAAGCATCAGAATTTGGTTCTCTTTGATACCATCTACACTTCGAATTTTAGTTTAAGTGACTGGTTGTCCTTTGGTCACTGGGAATCGTGCTGATAGGTTGGCTTCTTTGTCCTGAATGATCATGGAATTGGTGAATCGTTGATAGAAAGCCAAGAACCCAGCTGGTGATTTCTCACTAGGGACTCAGTGCAGAGTTTTGCCGTCTACCCCAGAAACTGTGGCCATTTTATGCAATTTTTGTGGGGGAAGTGATACTAAAACCAGGGTGTTGGGAGGATTATACAGGTATAATTACCCCAAATTCTTGGACAACCTCCCCGTGGTCACAAAAAGCGCAAGATGTTGCCAAGGCTACCGCAAAGAGTGTGCAGCCTTCTTCAAGCGTCCACCACAATCCAACGTGTTTCTTCGGCCTGTGATTGCTGTCAGTGAACCATATTATAAGATATTATAAGCCACATTTGCAGGCTCACGGTCCCGCTTTCACTCTTGCAGCAACCCAAACGCATCCAAAAGCTCTATCCACTTTGCATACTGATTATAATATATATGTATAATATAATATATATATATATATCCATAAACAATTCATTTGTATCATGTTCTTCTCATTGTGAATAGTGCCAGCTGCCTATGATGATACGGTGAGGTCACTGAGCAAGTCCATTTTCCAACCCTGAACTTGGCCAGGCTTGCAATGGTTAGCTGCAGCGACAGTCGCTTCGTCTGGCTCGACTATGCGGGGGTGCCAAATGGACCGTAAAGCCACTGAAAAAGGAAGTGAACGCATTGCTGAAAGATAGTATGCAGTTTCTGTCATTTGGAGAGTTCTGTTTTTCCTTGATTCTTTTGTAAGCTGTATATAATATTATATAATTACAGATTAATATATTACAGTATTGATCAGTATTGATATTATGTTTTGTACGAGTGGTGAAGTGAAGACCACTCTTGGGGCATACCCCGCTTTCCAAAACGCTATATTTTGTTTGCAAAACGAGGTAGGAACGCCCCAGAACGCGGTATATAGGCATTTCAAATCGACCTTTTACGCATTTATAGCAGTAACTACGGCGTTGGTGAACAAGGTCAGGCCCCCGGAAAAAAGAATCATATACTTTCTCCAAGTGATCCCCGCCAACTGAGATTCTATCTGACATATATTCTGACACTTTCTGGCATATATTCCAACATTCATTTTGACAGACAAGGAAGATGAAGACGAGGAAGGAGGAGGAGGAGAAGGAGGTGAAGGTGAAGGAGTTGCACCTCCGTTATACTCATGGAGACCCTCACCTGGCAGGTGGGGAGAAAGGAATGTCGAGGTAGGAACACTCCGTCGATCGCATGATGTGCCAAATACTTTCCGCGGCTCATATGGCATATCATTTTTTTATATCACAATAATTATCGCAGTGATACTGGTACAGTTATTCGTACATATTCTTACTGTATATGGATTATTTGGTGTACTTGGATAAGCGGCACAGCGATCGCTGGGCCGCTGCAGGTGCCCTCTGAGGACAAATCGGTCTGCAGCCCAGCAAAAGGGCCGATTTTAGACCTGCAGAATGAAAAATGGCGCCTGATCTGACGAATTTGAAGTATGTGTTGATAATTTTTGATATATTTTGTCTGAAAAAGGGGAACATCCCAAAATCCAGCAGATAGTAACAGATAGTAGTCATTTTCCCAAAAATAATTTTTGCCAGAATTGGGGGTATACCGGTGTACCCCACTTTCAGGCACAGCCATATGTTTTATAGATGATCAGATGATACCACGGTTGCTCCACATGACTTTACCAACATCAGCCGTCCTGAGGCTTGGTCTCTTGGCCCTGTGCAGGGACGTGGGAGCATGCCCTGGCAGTTGGACGGCAAGGTGCAGATTTTTGTGGTCACCGTTTCAGGTTAGATTTTTGGACTGGCCAATCCAAATCTCGTCAGGTAGGTTTAGTATGGTTTAGTAACTGTGGTAAGTTAGTGACTAGTGACTCTACTAAAGTATTTTTTTTGGGATATTGCATGACATTCGTTGTGTCAAGAGGATGCCTTTCACGGGCTTCGGGCTTGCCTTTGATGGTTGCAGTCCGCATGAGTCTGTATGAATTATAGCAGTCTCATGTTGCGACGTCACCGGAATGATAGTTTATCGGTAAGAACCAGTAACTATCCCAATCCGTGGCTGATCTGAAGTGTATAATAACTTCTCCAGCATTGATTTCCTTCCTAATATCCCCCCATTTGATGGTAAAAATATATAGTAATCACCACTTAATATCCAGTTAATATCTTGATACCACCTAATGTCCAGGAATTCTTAAATTATACATATGATGCATATGGGGATACCACTGAATATACATGGTACAATTGATCCAGATCGTTTCGTCTGGGCCAGATTGCGCCAGGACTTTATCAGAGTTTGGACCGACTACTACGCATCGAGCTCAGGGTCGAAGAGATGTTTCTGCCAGGGAACATGGGAATATCATGGGGATACAAATATGAGGTGTCCAAAGTCATGAGGCTACCCCCAAATCATCCAAGTCAGAGCATTTTAGTATTGAAACATATTGAAACTACGGTTAATTGGGATCCCCCAATTTAAGAAACCTCCGTATCATGGGGATATCATTGGGATGGGGTCCAAGCTGGAGGCCGCCGTGGAGCAGCTGGTGTCCCACTTGATGAGCCTCTTTGCCGTGGCCATGAATTTGCCGGCGCCTCGCCCAAGTACGGGGGGAATGCTACGGCAGGTTTGTTGCAGCTTGGGCACATCTGTCTCAGCAGGGGTTTTTGAGTGTTTTTGTAGATGTTTGTAGACATTTGTAGAGCTGTTTCATATATCTTAATATGTTTAAGTGACAGAATTGCGTTTCAAGTGAGACATTGAACCCTGGAGTATCCTGGGTTGTGTCAGGTCACAGCTTTTGATGCCGCCCTGGACAAGCATGGCTCCTCAATGCGGGCGATTTTGTATCCCAAGCTGACACAGGTGCCAAGGTGAACGCTACCACCGTTTTCCCATGGGGATTTCCCAACCATTTAAGGCACGAAAAAACACCACCACGAGGGGATGGAAAAACATGGCTTTTCGTTGATCAAGTCGCAACTCACAGGATCGGCTGATGATGATTTTTGATTTCTCTGGGTCACTAACCAGGAGTGGTATCCTCTGGTGAACTAACATAGCTATGGAAAATCACCATTTTTCATGGGAAAATCCACTATAAATGGTCATTTTCCATTGCTATGTTAGTTCACCAGGAGTGGTAGTTTTACACACACTGCCTCTTCATCAAAACAGTGACGCCCACTATGTCCAGATTCTTGAGAGTTCAGATAGTTCAGACATCCCGCTCGAGCGCAGTTTCCCTTTTCCAGGCAGACTTTGAGTCCGGCCATGTGGTACGTTCGAGCGGGTGCTCAGCAAACCAATCATTGGTGATAGGGAATGCTTTGGCAACCCAACTCTTGTTTCATTGGCAATGATATGTAATGATTGCAATGATTGGCAATGATAACAATGCAAATCATCATGTTCCTCATATGAATATATATATATATATTTTAATAAATACATATACATAGTCGTGCAACTATATGCATACATATATGTCAATGTATATACTATTATATACTACATATCCACCACAAGAAAAAACAGGCCTCCGCTGCGATGCACTCAGGCCCGAACACACGGACTGGGGCTGTGTGACCGTCAGGGCGTCCAAAATTCGACAGGATGACAGCAGCAATCCCGGAATTGGTGGAAGTGGCAACTTCCTATATTAGTATTATATTAGCCTCTGGTTATTTAACATAGCCATGGTATAGATGGCCCATAGAAATAGATGGTTTACCTATAATGGTGATTTTCCATGGCTATGTTAAATAACCAGATGGTAGATATTAGTACTATATAAGTAGTATGAAGAGTATAAGTACTTTAATACCTTTGAAACCTATTTTCATTTTATAACACTGTGAAAAAAAGGTACACTATTATCATTGTTTATATTTATGTTGGACCCCTCCAGATTTTAAGGTAAAAACATACAGGTTTTCTAGTACATGTTCCTTAAAACGACTCCATTGATACAACAGTTACAGTACAACTGAAAACCACATCAGACGGTCTTATAATGATAACCAGACTGTTGATGAGTGATGACGGTTAATCATTACATACAGTATCTGTAGCTGTTCACTATACATACTAAAGTGCGGGTAGAAGGAAAAAACTGGTTTGCTAGCACGACAAGCATATGTCCTTTGCCTACATCGTACCGTAGCAACAGACGCAAATTGCCCACTGCAAGCCATTCAGGTCTTACTTGCAGATCCAGATGTCAGTGGACTTGAGGTTTGTGACAAGGATCTGTGTGCACAGAAAGACGGTGGGGCTTACAGGATGTCACAGTACCATTTGTGCACAGAATTATGCAAGACCCAGGATTCAAAAAACTGCACAGAGGAATAGAATAAACATCCTTATTGTACAAGTGCCAGTGAGGGCCAAAGGCCTCCACTGAAGGTGTAGAGTCCAGGAGTCCAGTTTATGCAATTGTTGACCTTTGGAATCATACTCAGAGTCATATATTCATCAAGATTATCACACCCAGAATTTCAGAATCATGATCACAACTGCTGCAATCACGAAATATGTTTGAAACTCTGCGAGTTGGGTCCTGCGATATCCCAGTGATTCCCAGTGCAGGATGGCCAATGGACGCCCTTACAACCCGTGAAGCGAAATTCCCTGGTGGTGAACCTTGGTGCCTCGCAAGGATCAACTGCGGTTGTCACCGGTTGTAACATGTTCAATAAGCGAGGTGCTTGAACATGTTTTGCCCACTAAAGAAATGGAGAGAGAGAGAGAGAGAGTGCGGAAGCCTAAATTGATCTAAATTGTGTTTGCAAGAGGGGGCGCACATGTCACTCCGATCCGCTGCAGCGGTGCGATTTTTCATAAGATGAGTGTCATCAACTTTCATCAACGTGGATTTTCAGTACTTGACACAAAGCCAAAAATGGTCCCAAGTCATATCCATTTAGATCAAGTGGCAATATTGTGGGAAATTGATGAAGATTGAACCCAGCCACTAGAAGTTGATGGGGAAATTAAACAATTCTAACAGGTGGACCATCTCATTGTTTCATTAGCTGGTTTTGTGATCCCCGAGCAGATACAGCAGGAATTCCTATGTTTCTATTTTGTGTTGTTTTACCTTTTCCTATGTTTCTTGTACCTCTATGATACTACACCATAGGTTTCAACCCCATGTTTGATGGTTCTTACCTGAATCATATGAAATCATGAAACATGGAAGGTTCAATCTATGAAGAAGGACCGTTTGGATATTTTTTGGGCTAAGAACATAGCATGTGAAAAGCACCAGTTTAAATCATGTTAAGTCGTATGGCATCAGCTGGTTTTCGCAACCCCTGGTCCAAAGGTGAACTCCTGCAGTGGTGGACTGGGGGACAGTGGCTGGCCACGCCCCATCGGGTGCTAGCCAGGTGCCAATGAAATGAAGCTGTGGATGGTTTGGGTATTGGGATCTACATGGGTCTGCAATTGCTCCAACTCTCTGGGTAAACCTGGAATTGCTGAGTCGATGATGTGTCTTATTTTCCCATCATGGGAAATCCACTACAGCTGGGGAATTTTCTTGGGGAATAGGTCTTATATTTTTGTTGAGGCTTCCGAAATCCAAGTAATCCCCAATTTTTTTAACGATCCCCAATAGAGCTTTGTGAAATTGGCTATCCCCCTAGTAATGGGATGATGCTAAACGATGGTAAAATGCCACCCCACTCATGGTGGGTTAATAGGATTGCTTAAGTTACTGTCTGAAAATGATGGAGACATGTCTTTAGACATGTGGAGACAGCTCAATACGGCACATGTAGATTAGCGGAATCATTAAAACTACCCTCTGGTGAACTAACATAACTATGGAAAATCACCATTTTTAATGGGTAATTCCACTATAAATGGCCATTTTCAATAGCTATGTTAGTTTACCAGAGGGTAACCACCAAATTTTTTGGATACCCTATTCTCAGAGAAATTCATGAATTACTTGTACTGTCAAAGCTATTAGGCGGCACTAAAAAAACACACGGCATTCACCATTGTCCTGTACATTTACCATTAAAAAAAAAACATATTTCAAAACAATGATTTACTGCAGATTTTACATAATTCCCGTGAAATCAATCCATTGATATACAGATTTACCATCAAAGTTTTGGATCAAACCAACCAAATCATATACATATAATTACATATATAATATAATAGTGGGATATAATGGGACATATTGCCAACAACAATGTGTTGTGTTCCTTGAACATGGCTGGCTGTATTGGCTATTCCATATATGGTACATATATCATGTCATATCATAATATATACTGTATATATATATAAGTAGAGGTGATCATGATCATCAACCCCTGGATTTTGGAGTACCATATGTTTGGAGAAACCCAGAAGACTATTGCGACTCTCATCATGGGATAGCAAGGGACCCACGAAAAAATGGTCATGTTTGGATAGTTTGAGTGCTTGACCATTCATTCTTCGGCGTGCAGTGTGGGATTTTAAGGCATGCGATGCGGAAAATGGTACCTGACTGGCTGAGCTTAGACCAGAGATCTTTGTTCTACATGAAAACCACCTCCAGAAGATGGGCCAATGGGGGTAAGTCTCAAAAGTGCCAAGTCCATTTGGAATTTGCCAAGTCCAAGCTGATGATTTGTTGTTCTGTGTTTTTCATGGGGATAGTTATTGCCCCTTGTAGGGCCTGTATCGATGGCATTTTTTCGGGAACAATCTCAACAGACTGATGTGGCTGACCTGAAGTGCTGCAAGGCCGGAAAATGCTGGGGAGCGACTATCTTGCCCGTGCGCCAGTCGTTCGCTTTTCTGTGCCACCAGTGGTGTGGAGTTTTTCTTGGACCCAACTGACAACAGCAATTAGATTTCATTCCGAGATATTCTGAAATACTATTCAAACATATTCAAACTATTCACCAAATTTCACCAACCCAGTTTTGACATTAAAAAAGGGTGTGTTTGTGCCTACGTTCTGTTGACGATGCCACGATGCCCTGAGCATTTCTCCCTTCAAAAGGTGCGCTTGCGCAAGTGGGACTTTAGAGGGGCGGATTTCTTCCGAGTGAAAAACACTTGTTGTGTCATGCTTTGAGCATGTCTTGGAGGTACTTTGGCTTGGTCAACCGCGAGGTGATTCTTCGGCCTCTCCTCAGCGACAATGGAGCAGAAGGCCAGTTTTTCCCTCCAGAAACACGATCTCCAGAAGGATTTGTTGCAGTGGTGCTTCAGAGTCAGAAGGCATACAGGCAGGTGAAACGGGTGTCAGCATGTACGTGACGCACATTGTTTTGTGGTTTTGAAAGATGTTTCGATCTAGTCTCCTAGATCCTCATAGTTATTCATACTTAGTGTTGACAAACGAAAGTCATTGGATTCTGATTGTCTAACCTGTGTTTGTGAGCTCCCAGATCAGATGTGCACAAACTGCAGGATGTTCGTTTCATTTCCTGAGTTTTCATCAATGTGAGTCACTCATTTAGGTCCTTTTTGGCTGCCCCTGTTCCATGATGTTCCCAGGTGAGAGTTCCATCACTGCTGGGGAGTTCTTTCAGAACCATGAGAAATACACCAGCAGGGCATGTCCTTTTCTTAGTTGGGCGCTGGTTGGGCGAGTCACGACTCACCAAAAAAACATCTCAAACCCGTTGCGTATCCCATGTCTTTCAAACCGATGCTTCAAACGCCTGGGATGTTTCAAACCATCTCAAAGAATGATCGCAGGTCGCCATGCCGCCGATTCGCGGACTGAAGTGCTGGAAAAAAGATGAACAAAGGGCTCAGTTGGAAGTTGATGGAAGTTGATGGGGGTTCAGGTTTCAGTGCCAACTCTGAAGTCTTTTGGTACTTTGCATATCTTTGCATCATTTTACATCTTCAACCTTGACATCTCTGACGCAAGTGGCCAGATGGTCATCTACCTCAGCGTGATCCTGACTGTGAATCAAAACTTACAGATCTTAGCCGGAGCCCGAAGGGATGGCATTTCTGGGGGCCTTTCCCGGCGGGGGTTGGGCATCACTGGGCATTGCTATGGCTGCCATGGACGATGGCAAGAGTACCGATGACCAAAGCATAATGGATCTGTTTGCGTCAAATTGCGTGGGAAGTTTGTTCCTGCAAATTGTCTAAGTCTAAACTTGGGACAGAAAGCAGTAGCTCGTTCTCTGGTGCCACGTATTTCAATCTGCTGCACAGATCAGTGAGGTAACAACATATCTTGAAGTCTAGAAGCACCTTGTTCAAGTGGTTCCCCCTATGATTCAGCAGCTGCTGCTGGTCGTAAACCAGATTTTACAATAATGTTAAAACACAATATATAAACGCAATCATTTTCTGTATAATTATACTATAATTACACTATACTTGCAGTATCTTACATGTGTAGATATTGTAATTCTAAACATATATCTTTTTCGCTGACCGTGATCGGAATATGCTGAGGCCATGGGCTTAGAGGTTGGGAGCTCAGATCCAGGTTTTTGTTGGCCCTGAAAAGCCAACGATTTAGCCAAGCGAAGTTGAGCTTAGATAGATGGATAGATATAGTGTATATTTCTGGTATATGCACATTGTACAGCAATGTATGGTATATATATATATGTATATATATATATATCATCTCACGTGTTTATATGATATGTTTTGATTATCATTCATACGTAATGATTATCATTGTCATTGTCGTTATTATTGTTGTTGTCGTTGTGGTTGTTGTTATTATTATTGTTGTTGTTGTTTCCTTTTCAGGGTTGAATTTGAATTGAAGCATGCAATTTTGAGGCATCCAAGAAAAGCACAGTTGACTTGTCACATCTTCTGGCACTTGCTTTTGATGAAACTTAACGTGTTTGCCGCAGGAAAGCCATTTTTCGCCTACTACCATCCTGATGTACCGGAAGCAGCAGGCAAGGCAACCGGTTCTGTCAAAAGGCTCTGAGCAAAAGCTGGACTGACAAGAGACTGTGGACCCCGCACTGAATCCCCGTAGCCTGCTACTTAATAGCATTCAGTGGGAAGATGTGGGCAGCGTTCAGGATGGGTCATTTGCATTCATTTGCTACGTTTTGTGTTTCTGCATCTTTGAAGTCGCCATGGCTCCATCTTGGGAGCTTGGACTTGGCATGAAGTTCCAGGCAGAATTTCAGATTGAGAGCATTTCTTTGCTGCTACAAGCTGTCAATGATCGGACCTACCGGCGCCGACGCCTTAACCTGGCAGCGATGGGACAGTACAACGCTGGATGACAACATACACTGAACCATACTGAACCTCAGAATGGTGTGCCTGTGGGGTCATCGTGCTCACACGTTTCAGGCTCGTGGTGTAGATGGATGGTTTCCCCAAATCGCAGATGGGAAAACTCTTCTGCCATGCGCTTCTCTTGCTCAGTCCTCGTCGAAGTTCACCTCTTGATTGCAGTAGATCAGTCTAGCATGATGGCTTGTCATGCATTGTCATGCATTGTCATGCATTGTCATGCAAAATGTGTTTTCTCTTTTGACAGATATTAATTAAAAGTCCCATCTTCAGACTGCTCCAGTACTACTACCGCAATGTATAGTTGGACGACAACAGATCTGGAGTTTTTTGTTTTGCCCGGATCAATCACTTGGGAGGCGAAACCATCATGGAGTTCACAGTCACAAGACAGCTACAGGCAGAAACTTCGGAGCAGATTGCCATTCATTTGGGGAGGCAACAGATGGTCATTTTTGCTCATGGTATCAAGGACTTGGATCAACAAAGCACTTCTATGTCCTGTTTTCAAATGTCCCATGTTGGGGATTTTAAATATCACCTGAATATATGAACATATATGGATGGTGGTATATATTTGTAGATGTTTTTAGCGAAGCGCAACCCTGAGAAGCTCGATGGTGCAAGCCTGGGCTTTCACGAGAGTGCTGGTGGAGCCCTGATTTGCAGAGCCTGGACCAAAAGGCGGTGCCATCCCCATCCCTTGGAACCGTTCTGATTTGTCATGTCTTGTCCTGTGCCCGGGAGTCCTTCTGCCCTGTGGCCATTGAAGCGGGCCAGCCTCACCGACGATCAGAGATTGCGATGTGTGCCACTTGCATGGGCTGCATGAGTCTCACATGAGGCCGTCCGCAAAGAGCTCTTTCCCGCAACTTGCGAAATGAGTCCAAATACACTGTAAACTGAGTTTTCGGCTGGGGAAGCTGAGATCGGGGGTGACAAAGACTTGCCTTGGCAAAGTCTTTCTGGAGCAGACAACATCTGGATGGCATTTTGGAATGCTTGTAATGTCCTCTTTCCGGGCACAGCGTGTAGGTTTGTCCGCAAAGCACAGGAGTGCACAACTTTCATGTGACTTTGGCAATGCTAGCTGGTAGCTGCACAAGAATCTTGGTGAGCAATAAGGTGCGAACTACGAACTGAGGGATATTTTTGAACATCTTTGATGTTCCTACTAGTAGCTCTGACCAGCGGCCCTATTTGCAAACTCTTGCTCGCTGCTTGAATTTCGCAAAAGCGGCTCGTGGGCGGTGATGCAAGTAGTTCAGCTCTCTGCAACTTCGCAGTAGCAGCGATGTGCATCTATTATCATCTTTTGTATCCTGCAGTGAAAGTTCAGCTGTTTTTCTGCGAATGCTTAGCATGCAAAAAGAAGCGTTGCAACTTGGGGTGTTGGTGTGATGTCAGTAAAGCATTGTTGGTATGTTCATCCCTTCAACTTGCCTGCGATTTCTGATGTCTTGATGCTTTGCACATGTTTGCAGGCCTACTTTCGCTTCCGCATCGCCTTCTACTTGATGCTGTTGCGCCCAAGTGTATGGAGCTTAATCAAGCCACGGATTTCGCATGGCAAGATTGATTATGTATGAAGAGTGTGGGAACATCATAGCATATCAATATCATAGCTTTTGGCCCCATCCCCATTCACAAATCATCATTCTTGTGGATTAGCCCATCTGAATTACCCTTTGCTGGTGAAACCATGGCAACCCTTATAAGAGTGTTGACGTATAGACAATTTTAGTGGATTGTTATATAATGTTATATATAGTTGTATAATGATGTATAATGTTGTATAGCAATAAGAGATGTAAATACGGGTGCCCCATGTTAAGAAACACAGAACCACTCATAGAACCATCATATTTTGTTGGTTGTCCCACATTCCAAACTCCTGGTTTTTGGCTAACCAATGTTCGCAACCCCCGTGGTCATTCCCCAAGATATTTATAACTATTTATACATGTGTTAGTGTTGCCGTCATCCTGCCAATATAGAAATACACTACCGTTTCTTGGTTCAAAACTGATTCTTTTTCATCCGGAGATGGCTCAATGCCTATATTGAAATATTAATGAATAATTGTATATAAATAAAAAAATAAATCTATTATATCTGTATATATATATATATACATATTATATCATATTATATAATTATTAATAATTATGTATATATATATATATTTGTTGGGTGGATGAATACCCAGAAATTCCAACCGTTCAACAAATGCCATGAGTTCACCCCATCGGTCCCATCGGTCGAGATCTTGGCCTGGCTTCGGCTGACGGTCATCGAAGAGAGCACCGAGTGGCTGCTCCTGGGGATCGGAGAGGCGTGTGCGGCGTGCGCGGCGTGCGCGGCGTGCGCGGTGCGTCTAGCCCATGAAAGATTGGAGTAAAACGAGGTAAAACTGCACCCACGAATAGCAATTAGTATAGCGATATATAGTGATGTATAGTGATTTGTATAGTGAGTTGTATAGTGATTTGTATAGTGAGTTGTATAGTGAGTTGTATAGTGATTTGTATAGTGATTTGTATAGTGAGTTGTATAGTGATTTGTATAGTGATTTGTATAGTGCTTTGTATAGTGATTTGTATAGTGATTTATCATATCATTATACTTAATTAATCTTAATGATGTATATATGAATGCTAATAATAATCAAGCCAACAAATGCTAAGAAATATAACCATGTCCATTGGTGACCCAATGTTCACCAATTCCCAGCTGCTGCGAGTCAAAGGGCGTATGTGGGCTTGTCTGGAAATTTACCGGGAAACCGCAACATTGACATTGATGGTGGAGAACAACATGTTTCGGATTAAACGTGCGATTTTGGGGTATACCATGGTATACCGTATACCCGATGTCCAGACAAAGCTTATTCGATGAAATTCGGAATCGCCTTTGGAAGAGCTGTTCAATGTTCCATGTAAGGCGTAAGGTTTGTATTAGGATGAGTCACTCAATTGAGTTGATGTGATACTCTCGTTCAAGACGGCCGGTGTGGATACTATGTTTCATAATAGCGCAGAGAGTATGTGTCTCATTGATTGCGGAGAGATTGACAGAAATTCTGTGACATCCCAGTCTTGTGAGGCGCTGCTGTTGATCGTTTACATCCTGCTTTTCAGTGGTTTGAAGCCAACATCAGGCCCCAATGCTGGAAGCAGGATGTTTCTTTCCACTATATACCTGGGATAGGGTTTTTCATTTGCACTGAAAGTGCCTGTCAATGGAATGATCTGGCAGAAGTAAGACGATGCGATTGTACCGGGACCTGATGTAGCAAGCTGCAACTCACAATATTTAGTTTGACGTCAAGGTGTTTCTATGATTTGTATGACCTATCAGTCTTCAACTTGATCAACTTGTTAACCCCTAAGAGCAACCACTCAAAAACACGTTTGGGCCAACCGGCAACATTGCTCAGACAAGTCTGGTTTGATGAAGCTTTGGCGCTGGGCACCTAGGGGGGTGACTCAAACTCATTTACCACCGAAAG